GGAGACATGTATAAATATACGAAAGTGTTATACAAATAGGTACATTATGGACATGATTGTCTGGTCCAAAATCGCTGCTATAATTAATAAGGACATAACACTTTCAATATGTGTGTACATGTTTTTTTAAGTTTTTGATTAGTTCCTATTTTAAATTTTGTGTTCAATTTTCAAGTTTAAATTGTCGTTCCTCAATGTTATGGATCTATAAACATTAAAAACTTGCAACTTGAGAATATATATTTTTAAAAGAAATATTTTTCAAATATTATTTTTAGAAGGGAGTATGGTAATATGGAGTATGATAGTATGAAATAATATAACAGGACTGCAATCACCGATCTATGACCAATTGTCATCTCTACAATATGATTTGTTTAACCCTGAATCCCATATATAAATTATGCGTTGTATGAACCTCTGCATAAGGTTCATTTAGTCGCACGATTATAATCTGAGAACCTGAGAATAGTGAATTAAATATAGTAGCATTAAGGAAAGAATTAAACTTTTATAAAAAGCAACATTTTTTAAAGTACTCCTGAGTGAATTTGAGGAATAAATGTTAAAATATATGATTCGACACCAGTAGAATGTACATAATTTTTCAGAGGACTGTGATTTCGTTTCTGTTTTTTTTCGGTCAAAAAGTTGACCTAAAATGTACCTACGAGTACTTGATGAACTTTCAGCATCGATTTATTCGGAGATGAAGTTTCGTATGAAAAAATGTTATTGTATTGTTTTGACTTATTTTTTTACATAGAATTATCTCCCTCCGGATTGTACTATCAGTTTAGGGATATCTTGCAGATACAGTATACAATTACTGGGGCCATTATATCTTAAACCTTTCTCACTCTGTTGAAATTTCAAGTTTTGTATGTTCCCTTCTACGCTATGTGACTTTTCTCATTATTAAATCGTATTACTTATATGAAAAATAGAGTAAGCACGACAAACTAGAATCTAATTTCTACTGAATATATTATTTTAACCCTTAACTGGTCATGTGAATTTTTCGTACATAAATGGTCACGTGCCGTCTAGGATGGTTAATTCGCGAGCTTATCGCGAGACGCTGCATCACTCAGAAACTACATATTTATCGTATCGAGTTCGTTCTTCAATTATTTTAATCTGGAAGGATTGCAGTACTACAATAATTTTTTTCGTTATATTAGAAATTGATTTTTTAATATCAAAAAGAAAGCAACCAGGAAATATATTAGGTTATATTATTACGTAAGGCTGGTATTATTTACGATCGTCTGTTATAAGGTTGATTTCTGTTATCTTGATCCTTTTCTGCGGTATCTTGGTAGTTTCCTGTTGTGACTTTTATCATATTTTTTTGTTTTGCGCATATTTTTATACTACGCTATTTGTTTTTTTTATATTTTTATTAATAGCATCTCTCAGAACTCTAACAGATTGGATCATGGAAATGATTTAATATAAGAATAAACTATGAAACAGTACTAATAATACTATATCTTTGGTATAGTTTTCTCTGATAAATATTCTGCATATCATAAAACTTATCTACATAGTATGTCTGAAAAATAACGAGACTACATATATCAATTCACACATTGATCGTACGTGTAAAAATCCTTCATTTCATTTAAAGTATACCAATCTGGTATTGATATTTCTAATGGTCTGCATGGCCAAGAAATCTGTGAAATCAGTTTTGTGTATCTGAAGAAATTGGAAATTTGAGTGTAGTAGGTTTAACAAATATGAGAAGAATAGAAACTTCAGAATAAATGTAACAAAAACATATCAAATATCAAAAGAATACCAAACGTAGGAAATATAAGGAAGGCAGTATGTGAAGGAAGACTTATTAATGACAAATAAAAAAAGAATTAAACGTATACACAATTTTTGTGATTTTAAATGTCGATGTTGTCAGAAACAATATTTACACATTACAAATATGAATATGAAAGACACGACATCTATTTACCCACTTATCTTATTCAAATGTCTCGTTTCTATTGAAATAGACGATTGTAAGTATACGAAATTAATACACAGATTTCAGAATGTATACACGTACAGTTAACCAGTTGCGTACACACGCGCGTCATACGTGCATCGTCATAAAACGTAGAGCCCATCAGCCGTGAATCGTTTAAAACGATCCGCGTAGCGCTGAAATTTCATTCAGTACTTACATATGTAACTGGTCTATTGAATCAACTACGCGTTCCAGTTTCCCTTAAGATGAACTCAAATTCAACTTACTTTACGGTTCAATTGACACGCCACACTCTTTAATCGTCAATACTTTTCGGACATTAGAAGCAATTGGAACCATGATTTTTTGTAAAGCTGTTTGCTATTTTTGTACATATTAAGTTTCATATGATGGATTGTCTAACGGGCGATATTATGGGGGATACAAGATCCATTAGCACACCATAAGAATTTTGCATTTTTTATGAAATGAAATTATTATTTTTGCCCAGTTTCTTTTTATTTTATTCGATGTACACGGTCTGTTCCAAAATCAGCAAATACTAAAAATAGTTTTCTTTTAAAGAGATATGCTGTTCACAGTAATTATCAAAACTCTGGAAATGGCTTTGATAATTCTTTTCCAACATGGTGAAAATGACAATGGTCCAAACTTTGGGCTCCACGAGTTAGGTCACGGTTACACTGGACGCGTATTCATGCAATGATATTGTAGTTACTAAGAAAACACATGCAAAGTTTATAACACCCGTAGCGCATCTTACTATTCTATCTTGCCCTTCCCTTTTATAATTATTTCTGAACCTTAACCTAGGAGGAAAGGAGATGAAAACCCTTTAAACCTTATTTAATCCCCTTTTATAAACCAAGTAATAACGTTCCATTTTTGCATCATTCCGATATTACTGTGTCCTCGCATCTTTCGTGTGTTATATTTATAACCTTCGTCTATATTATACACATTGTCCTCATTATACATCCTTTCATTTTAGTGCTCCTTTATTCCTTATCTGTGTCCTATTGTCTTTTACCTGTAGAATACAAAAAATTTAAATTCCCTCCAAAAAAAATTTTTTTTTTTATTATTAATTCCCCACAATCTTCCCTTCCCCTCCAAACCTATCCTTATGTTATCTCTATTTATCTTTTTGCATTATCTTTCGCCTTGCCTAATACCTTTATTTCACCATCTTCTCCCTTATATATACCCTACATTTCCTTATTTTGTTCCTACTTCGGTACGTGCTCGTAATGTGCTTTCCCTCACCACTGCTTCTCTTCTTCATCCTTCTCCTCTTCCGGTCGTATTTTGTCCACGTCTCTCGCAAATTCCGCTATATCCTTGATCCTTAGACGTCCTATATCTTCGTTCTCCAAAATAGATTTCCGGAGTCCTTTCCTTCTTGGTCCCATGAGCCTACTGCATGTCTTCAGTATGTGTTCAGCTGATTCCACCTCTTTCTCGCAGAATTCGCACATTTCGTTCTGCCTCTCCCCCATCCTTGTCAAGTGATGATTTAGTACTGCATGCCCTGTAATTAATCCTACAACCCTCCTTGTATCTTCTCTGGGTCAATTCATAATCTCCTTCCAATTTTTATATATGGGATCCATTCCCAACATTGATTTTGCCATACGACATCCTTCTGCCTCTTCCCAAGTCCTTTGCCTACGTTCCAGGCATCATCTTCTACGACCAAGCCTGAATTCTGCCTCCGCCAGTGGAACTAGTCTTTCTGTACCTATTGGTGGCATCACGTTAGACCCCATATTTGCTAACTTATCCGCCCGCTCATTGCCGCTCAAAATCGATATACCTAACTCAGACCCATCACTAGCTGTATACGGACGACGGGCTAGTCCCACCCACAAAGTTCATTTTGATGAGTTTATTAGTTCAACAGGTATAATTTCTTGAAGAAGGTTGACACTATATTTTAAATAGTTGTAAAATCGACAATTTAAACAATTTTCAAAAATCCTTCGAGATACACTTATATGTCACTAAAGACTATGATATATCAAACTGTCAACAAAATCCGAAATGTTACTCCAAAAAGTGTTGAACTTCGCGTGGAATTACCCGTAGGTGACAAGTTCCCCCAGTGCTGGACACATCAAATTTGGAAAACAGTAGATAAGACGTTTATGCAACTATAAAATATTTATGTACATAATTCAAAATGTAACATTCGCGTAACATCAAAATAAAATAAAAACACAATTAGTATAATTATATTTTAGTTATGTAAAAACTGTTTACATTTTGGTATGAGATTTTGGTTAAATAAGATCAGGAACGTAATGCTGATCACAGTAGGTCCTAGGAACGTGATACTAGACATTTCGAAAGTTTGCATGTTGCGCATATTCTGGATGCATAAAAATATGTAGAAATAACAGCAAACAAACGTTAATGTAAATTTATTTAAATTTGTGTCATATTTTTTCTAATTGTACACATCTATCACCTATGTATTTTACACATTCAGTTCAAAGTTTTTCATATTGTATCAAGGATATTTTTGTAAATCTTATAGACCAATGATGTTAAGATTACAACAGACGTTAAGTTTGTTCGATTAGTATTGATCAAAGAAAACGGGGCAATTCACAAAAGCAATCTTATAGAAATACATTGATATGAAATATTCAAAATGTTTCTTTCATTTCTGACCTTGTATCACCTTGAAGGTCATTCTATAGCACATTGATGAATTTGTTTTGTCACACGCTTTCATAGCCACCATAACAAAATATACAGCCTTCCGTTTAAAAAAGTAAAGGTCATCGTATCTCGAAAAATATTGTGAATATAAAAAATTGATATACGCTATTATGTTGCTTATGTAAAGCTAGAAATAAGGCGTTAAGGCTGAAGTATCCATAAAAAATATGACATGAGGTTACTTATTGAACAATTTCATTATTCCGTGTTACGTAGATTTGAATCAATTGTTTGTATTAATTTTGTCAAATGAAGCTAGTAGAGTATTTTCATTCAATTTCAGAGCCATCTTGGGGTACGCAAAAATTCTTTGGACTATTCGGGGACATGAAAAAAAGAATCGAAGCGTCGCTGATGTATTTCGACAGTGTGTTAATCGACATCCTAACAAAGTTTGTTTCATTTACGAAGACGAAGAATGGACGTTTCAACAGGTGAGATTTTTCGTAGTATCCAACTACATACTTACATTTCTTTGTCCTGAAACTTACTTTACTGATCGTTTCACTCACTTGGTTAACTGTGGCATTCACGATACAATGAATAAATATGGACAAAAATATAAACATGAAATATCTTCGGTACTAATAATTGTCTACAACCAAATCCATACTTTAAGTTTTTTTTTATCAAACCTATTAAAAGTAACTATAACTTTTATGTTAAATTAAACTGCAGACTATGTTCTTTTTTGTGGAACATTCATAGTTTTGAGAGTAAATCAATTACGCGCAACAAGTAATCTACTATTTTTTATCAAATTCAGTACCACATTTAAAAAAATCGAAAACCTATGCTGTTTCAGTAATCCTCACTCTGTCCTTGTTTTCCAATACCCTCCGCTATTTCTAAAAACAAAAAAGCAAGTAGATGTTTTAAATTGAAATCCCGTTGGCAGTTAATTAATATAAATAGATAGTTGATTTTGTATTGGAAGATTTAACATTAGAAGATTCTATAGAATGAATAGCAACAAATAATGAAATGACATTCAGGTTAATATCTGCTATGCATTTAAAATTGGAAAATTTAAGGCAGACTTAAAACAAAGGTTCATAAAACTTCACTTAATGTTCTGTTAAAGGCTGTATTTTCACAAAGCAATTATTCAGTAAAAGGATAATATTTAAACTATCTTGGAGAATTTAAATACAAATACAAATGTTGAATTAACAAGTTCGAGTTTTTATATAGTATCTAGTAGTCGAGTGAATTGAAATATTTATGATATTTTACTTTGTTATTGTAATTCTTTAATTTAAGCATTAAAAATATGAAGTTTTATAATGATTTACTTTATTTTTACCGTAACTAAGTGCTCCGTAAAGAGTACAAACATGTTTTTGTGGTGTCCGTTTTTGTAAATTAGTCTATTAAAATATGCATTTGCATAAACGTCCACGTAAACGTATCGTTCAGTTGGCCAAACTGATTTACTGTGCAAAAAGTTATTAATATTCATATTAATTTTTATGAATGTAACGAACGCCATTAATTTAATTATTTTTTATCATTTATTTTACCGCTTTCTGCTATATTGTCCATTCTGTTTTCTATGTATATTATTTGGACTAAATTGACTGATATTCAATAATGGTAAATTAAGTACATTGTAAATAGCTGGGTTAAATCATGAAGAAGTTCAGGAAGGTAACATTCGTATTATCCTTAGAATGAAGGGAAACGAGAAGAATAACTTAAGTTGTGACAAAATTAAGCGACACGTGCTATTAGCACACTGAACTCAGTGCCCAGTTCTGATCTTCGGTGATCTTGAAATCCTTTAACCCGAAGGTTGTTGAACCGACACCACAGTCTACCATCGAATCTAGATAATTTCATTCAAAGAGGCAAAGATGATGTTGGTATCTTGTCAAAGCCATCATCTCAAATAGAAATATTTAACCACGTTAGTTATATAATCATTATATCATTCTAATTTTTTAATTTTTTAATTATCATTTAAATAATTTTTTTGCTAATATTGAAAAGGAACAGATATTTCGTGCAGTAATCTTTGGAGATTTAATATTTAATTTTTAATATTTGATTTTCAATTTTTTATTAATTTATGTAGTCCTTCCATTTTTAAGTGTCGAGGAGATTACTTACTGTGCATAATTTATTATACAAATTAATTACTAATAATAATGTTGATTTTCCAATGTAAATGATGAAATAGGTTCCCATATTTATTAACTAGGAATGCCACATAAGTGGTGCTGGTGATGGAACTGTAACAGATGCACCGTTAGGTAAATTCTTTTACTCGTAAACCAGCAACTGTAGTTTTCTATTAATTCCATCGTAATATTAGCTTCTCAAAAAGAAACAAGCTACGAAGTCTATTGTAAAAAAAGCTTTTACCGATAAATTTCAGTCATACATTTTCGAAGTTCATTCTCGTAATCATCGTTATTCAATATTAAAATGAACTAAACGTACGTGGTATTCACAGATTGATCATAAAACTGTTTTCAGGTAAAACAGTGATTGGAGGAAATGTTTAATTATTCTTAAGCGTTGAAAAAAGTTTCAGACTGCTCTTATATGATCTCTTTTACTCAGAAAATTTGTAATGTTGTTAATAATTTGTCACTCTACCTACTACAGCTGTGACTTCATAAGATACCTGGGTACCCGGGTACCCGTGAGATAACCGGGTATACAAAAATTACCCGGGTCCCGGAGTATCCATGAGATATCCGAATATATGAGATAGTCGAGAATTTCGATTTGTAAGTCGATCGAAAAGGCGTAGGCATACTGCGCTACTACGTTACTCGCGTTACACCGCAAAAATATGATTTACTCATTCTTATAATGTAATAATATAATAATATGTATTATTAGTATATAGTGCTAAATATATATGTATTATTATATGATTATAATTATTATATTTATTATTGTAATATCTTCAGTTTTTCCAGTTTATTTCGGTTATTGCCGATATCGATTGAAAATGAGCGAAATACGATCGACCCTCGAATCCAGATTATCAACTGTCTCATTATTCAGATATCTTATGGATACCCGGGTACCTGGGTACTTTCTGTTTACCTGGGTATCTCACCGGTACTCGGATACCCGGGTACACGGGTAAAATAATAGCCCTACTACCTACACAGTTATTAATAATTTTTATGCTCTAGTTAATATTAGATTATTCTGCATTTCATAAATAGAAAGAATCTCTTATTATTTTTTAAATACTTTCTTGAGATACCTACTTTCAACTTTTCTGTATTATTTTTTTAATTAGCATAGCACTGTATTTGCCATTTTCAATCCGTATGTGAATAATTTCTGCAATGATCATGCAAACTCGTTTGATTAGATACCTTTTGTTAGCAGATAGAGTACTAAATAGTGCAAATAGGTACTATGAATTTACCATGCAATAGTTATCGTTTCGTTACAGTTTCAATTTATTTATTCATGAAAAATGTCCACCTTAACGGCTGTATCATCAGTAATGAATCACCTTGTGTAGAAGACCGTCGTCTTTTGTGTTGGATAACTGCTTAAGTTATCTTAGTGGCGTTTCGTTCCAAAATATCACTATTGAAAGTCACGATAATAACACTTACAATTAGTAGCTACGGAGTTAAGAATATACTTCAAGTATGAGATTTTATGGAACGTTTTTGGATTTATTAAGACAAGGTGTCATAATTTTGCCTTTCCTTTCTTTCGATGAAATTCATAACTTACCAGAGAGAAGCGAGAGATGGAAAATAATTGCAACTACCAGAACTCACACAGTAAACGTTATATTGATGAATCAAACTTAAACAGAATCAGTGGATTTTGTCAACATTTAATAGTTCAACATTACACATCTCATATATGTATAAGTCAGAATAATTAAAGGATTACGAAGTAGGTTTCGAACTAACAAGAATAAGTCCCCAGGTGTAACGCTGACTTTTTACTCAGGGTTAGCACAATGATAGGGCTTGAAATTCTGAAGCCAATGATATTTGTTCCAGCCTCATATAGCGATTAGTTTATGAGATGTTTAATATTGAAGTTATAGTCTATATCCAGGGTGTTTCCGAACTGGCGGTACACCCTAAATGGATACAATTATACATGTAAAAATTAGTGGAAAATATAGAACAGAATTTTCTTCATCTAACACGTATGTATTCGCGTTGACAATAAGTAGAAACGGAATGTAATGAACAGACGCGTTGACTCATTGTCAGTTCTATTAAATTGCACACGCATCCAGCAGATTTTTAAATTTGATTGCCTTGTAATGAAGCATCATACAAAAAATTTTATTTTATATTTTTGGTTAATTTGTGCATGTAAAATCGCATCTTGTTGGGTTGTACCATCACTTCAAAAACACCCTGTATACATATGTATAGGCTACAAAAAATATTGAGCTGTTAAAAGTTATGTGGGCCATCCTGTATACAAATGCGAGGGGGGCACCGTCAGGCACGGAGACGAGGGGGAACAGAACGCGAACCGCGAGCCACATAGTTACACGATACAGGTGACTGCGTTATCGACGCTGCTCGCCGCAATACTAGTATTAAAAAGTCAGCGTTACACCTGGGGACCTCTCTTTGTAAGTACGAATACAAATGGACTACTAAAACTGAAGAAAATATTTACATTACAGTTATTGTTATAAAATTTCAAGAAATATCATTAAAATCACTATTTAACGAAATTTTTCTTGTATAGATGTTTTTACTAATATTTATTATGTATTATATTGTGGGAAAGTGATACTTTTTATCCTTAAAATGTTGTATTACTAGTATTTTAGTGCCCGGTCTATTAATTATTTTGACTAATACGTTACATGCAATAGCATGACAGTTATTTTCGGCCATAAAGTTTGCAAATGTATTTTCAGGTGGAGGACTACAGTAATAAAATCGCCACGCTATTCAAGACACATGGATACCGTAAGGGAGACGTGGTTGGCTTGTTTTTGGAAAATCGTGCGGAATTTGTTGCAATATGGCTGGGTCTCAGCAAGTTGGGAATAATAGTGCCACTGATTAACAACAATCTTCGTAAAGCTTCACTTCTGCACAGCATTAGTGTATCTAAGTGTCAGGCACTTATTTATGGAACAGACTACACGGACGGTATGTAAGAAGTTTCTTATGTTATTTACATACGGAATATAAGAAACGACAAAAGAAACAGAATGTTGTGTTAACATGTTTTGTGCCACAGATAGAATTTAATCATTACAGAATCAATTATTATATTGTTTAAGCACACAATAAGAGTCCAAAATGATGTTATTCGCTTAAACAGAGCAGTCAACAAACATTTTATTCTACAGTATAAAATTCTATTCTGATTCTATAAAACAGGCTTGGGAATTAACTGCTCTTTTCGGCCAATTTTCAGAAGCAACGCCCCCTTTCTCCCAACCAGAGATGGGCAAAGTTTTATTTAAATAAAAATTTTAAATAACGAATAATAGATAAAAAAATCGTTCGTTATGCGTCGACTAAGGATAATTCTGGTTGTCTTTATTCGACGCATGACAAATAATTTTTTTGTTTGATGAGACTTTATTGGACAAACACAAATAATTTTTTTATTTGATGCGAATTTATTCGACGAATAAAGATAATTTTTTTTATTTGATGAGAATTTAGTCGTCGAATAAAGATCATTTTTTTATTTGATGAGAATTCATCTTTAGCATCGAATCAAGTTTTCATCTTTATTTGTATCTGTTAAACTTAGGTTTGGTTTTTGGGTACTTCTACATACTTGTACATATAACTCAAAACTATACACGTTCGCGACTCTCACAGGAAGAAGGACTTAGATCGCTCTTCCTGCCATAGATCGCGCTTGTGTCGTTAAGTCTTTAGGGCTTCCCTTCATCGACCCCGCTTACAATTTATTTCCAACACTCCCTCTTAATCGCTAGTCGATGACAAACGTTTGGCAATTCATTTCTCAAATTCAATAGTTTTACACAGTTCTGGTGTTTAACTCTCGGTAACAATTTTGTTAATACATCTGCCATTATTTCATTCGTACATATGTATTTTACGTTAATTGCGCCGTTATCTGGAGCTTCGCGAGAAAAATGGTACCTGATATCGATATGTTTGCTTACGGCATATTTGCCTGAGAGATTATGCATCTCACCATTTCCACTAAAGTACAGTCTATATGTATAAGAGAATATGTATTTGTGTAATATAAAATTTAAATGAGGTAACCTCGAAGATCCTGTTCGAGAATCTCACTGGGCCGCAAAATTCACGTTTCCGACGCGATGCCCGGCAACCTAAACGTGCGAGGAACAGTAGGGAGACCCCGTTCGAATCCCACTGTGGCGGTTTTATTTTTTATATTTAATTATTTTATAATTTCACTTTGTAACCTCTCAGTAAAATAAAAACTTGAAAATATTAATTTGCGAGACATTTAAAAAGAAGGAAATAAATTGTTTCCTCTTCAATATTTAAATTATACATTATATACATACGTATTCTTTTATACAGGGTGGCCCACATAACTCTTAACAGCTCAATATCTCGAAAACTATGCCATCAATTTTAAAGTTCTTGGTCTTAAATTGCATGATTACATACCTAATAGTAAAGTTTATTTCACGTTATATCGTCAAGGGAATACAGTGAATCCATCTTTTAATTTCCTACGGATACGTGCTCATACAAAAGAAATATGAACACTTCTAAATGTTATTAGATGTGCAAATTAATTGAGTGTTTTTAATTTTATTAGCTGCACTTTGCTTATTTGTCAGTTGTAACCTCTGTTCATTTTCAGCTGCTTTGCTCGTTACACCACTTGACAGATACACATTTTAAAACAGTAGATGACGTTTAAAAATGCATCGACGATTTCACACAGAGTTACAGAGATTGTTTTATTAATTACAATTATATTTCTGCTATTAACAGTAGTTTTTCGGGCTATTTAGAACAATTTAAGGGGTAGGTACCCTCTGGTCACAATTGTTGGAAAAATCGATTTTTTTTATTGTGTATTTTCATCGTATAACATCTCAAGCATGCTACTTCAAAATTTCAGTTAAAAATTCGCAGAAGTATTGATTCTGCAAGCATGTAAATAAGTAGTCTAATAATCTATAAAAACTTGATTTTTCGTGGACTTTTAACATGTTGCATAGAAATAAATACTCAAAATTATTACGAAACTTTCAATACGTGTAGGTATATGGCAGGTTGCTCCGAAATACATGTTTTTCTGAGTTTCGGTATGCGTGTTTAATGAAGGATGCAGACCCTTATTAACAATTATCAACTTATTGGACGTTAATATCACAGTCGTAACAATGAAAATTTTGTCATCAAGAGAGATTGAGAGCGCATCGCGGAAGTCAACCGTCGTAACTCAAGCGCGTCAAAAGACGCTAAAGTTGTTTGAAAAAAAGAAAAAAACAGAGTTGGAAGCTGAATACGACGTCTCGGGAGGATTGTTGTATGGTGCAGGAATAATTAATTAAACGTAAAATGATTTAACAATGCTCTATACGTTTTTCTCAAAGTGCGATTTTTTCCACGGATGCCACGATAAAAAGTTTAACTATAGCCCGATTTCAAACATTCTTGCGGCGTATTATTCATAATTCACGTCGCTATCGCGTTACCTACGGAGATTAACTTCGAATCATTGATTTGTTTTTATGGAGAAAATGCGTGAAAATATACGTGTTTTTGCAACATTCTGTTTAAACACGTGCTAAAGATCGCCCGATTATTTTTTTGGATTACGGATAGGTAAGGCGATAGCCATTAATATATGTTTTAAAAATATTCTTTGTTTTGTTACTTACTTAAGACAATCCTATCATGAGTTCTGACGGCGCTCGTCAATTAATGTGATTATATTCACCTGTAAGAAAAATTTTAGTAAAGGAATCTAGTTTTTTGTTTTCAAAGGTGCTAAATGAATGTGCACACAAAATAGTGAATTTCATCCCATTCTTTACTTTTATTATTTCATCGTTTTGATAATCTGTTTGGTTGTGCTAAGATTACTAAGATATGTACCTCAATTTCTCCCACAACCTTCGCATGATCTAGTACCTACATCGTGTCCGATTTATGCTGCGTGCAGCTGATGATGAATGCTACGGGGCATAGTTCCCGCTCTGATGATTGATGCAATAATAGGAAATAGAACTAACTACTTCAGAATGGAAGAAAATTAGGTGTATGGTTACGTGCTGGCGTCTGTTCAACGCGATGGTCATTTTATAGACGATTGCATAACTTCAACGTTTATTACATTCGCACGTTAAGTACGAGATGTACAAGTGAATTTATTTATCGTAGTGATTATTCAGAAAATTAAAAAATTTAGTTGTCACTAACTTGTCATTTTCTCGACATTGTAACACACTTGAGCAGACTAATGTGAAAGAATATACTACTCACGTTAACATCTATTGGGTTGTTCGGAAAGTAATTTCGTTTTTTTTTTTGTGAAAATGAAAGAAAATTTTCGTATAATGAACAAATATTTTATTAAATTATATATTGGCCATTCTGGTCCAATACCTTTTGCCATCTTTCTGGTAATAGCATGATTCCACGCTCATAAAATTTTTGGTCTTTGCTGGCAAAAAACTGATCGAGGTGGTTTTTGACCTCCTCATTTGAAGTGAAGGTTTTACCGTTTAAAAAATTTTGCAGTGACCGGAACAAATAATAATCCGAAGGTGCCAGATCTGGAGAATATGGTGGGTGTGGCATTGTATCCCATTCAAGCTGTAAAAGCTTTTGGCGAGTGACCAAACTTGTATGAGGTCTCGCATTATCTTGGTGGAACACTACACCTTTTCTGTTGATTAATTCTGGCCTTTTCTGTTGAAGTGCATCATTCAGTTTGTCCAGCTGATGACAGTAGACTTCCGAATTAATTGTTGTGTTATCCGGTAAAAGCTCAAAAAAAACGATTCCTTTAAAATCCCACCAAACAGACAGCATCACCTTTTTTTGATGGATATTGGCTTTGGAAATGCTTTGAGCCGGTTCATCTTTCTTGCTCCATGATCTCTTGCGTTTGACATTGTTATATACAACCCATTTTTCGTCCCCAGTAATGATGCGCTTCAAAAATGGATCATTTTCGTGACGTTTGAGAAGCGAATCACAGACGTCAACGCGACGACACAAATTTCTCTCCGTGAGAACATGGGCAACCCATATGTCGAGCTTCGAGGTTAAACCCAGGCCTTTCAAGTGGTCATAAACAGTTGAATTTGATAAATTTAACCTCTCGCAGATCTCACGTGATGTTATTTGCCGGTTTGCATCAATTAATGCCTTTATCGTGTCTTTATCAGCTTCAACCGGCCTTCCAGAACGTGGTGCATCTTCGACATCAAAATTGCCAGATCGAAATTTTGCAAACCAGTTCTGGCACTGGCGTACTGTCAACACATCTTCTCCATACACATCGGTTAATTTCTTTCTGGCTTGAACAGCATTTTTACCTTTTCTATAGTAAAAAAGTAAAATATGACGAAAATGCTGCTTATTGCTCTCCATATTTAAAAGGGCACCAACCAAAAACTACTGCGTAGAATCAATTGGACTTTTTCACACACAAGCCTTGCTATATCAGCTCTCAAAACATATAATGATTATGCGGCTTAAGTGTGAAGTTGGGTGCAAAAAAATACAATTAAATCCTCTGTCGGGAAAAAACGAAATTACTTTCCGAACAACCCAATACATGAAATCCGCGTAAAATAACTTTTATGGGTCATTCTATGCCAATTGGATCACTTTTGTGTCATTTATTGCCGATATTATTCGACCCTTTTCCTCAAATTTAGACTAATTGGCACATTAATTTGAATTCACACAGACCCTTCGTACAGTTATAATACAATTCACTGGTTAAATATAGACTAATAAGTCTGTTGCATTTCGTTATAAGTACATTGTTTTGATTGTTTGATTGTTCACAGCAGCCAGGGACAGATAGGATTTTCGCTCAATTTCTCTTAGCAGTGAAACGTGTTAAATATCATTTGATGTTTAAGGAATATAATATTAACAACTACAAAATATTACAATCTTTTTTATATTGGAATAACGAGTTTTATAACAAACTTTTATAAACATAATAGTTACCTATTAGTACACCGTTTGTTCAACAACTTTTAGAATATAAATTAAAATAGTAAATTTTTATAAGGCGATGACTATTTTTATTTAAATTATTCGAAATAATTGCCTTCCAAAGAAATAGACAAAAATTTCATGTATAAGGCAATTGTAGTATATAAAGAGAGTTCATTATCTGTAGAAATCAGAAATAAATTATTTATCATTTCATTTTTCTCTGAGATGTATTTAAGCACATGTAATTTCACGGACTCTTTGCAATTACCTGTCTAATCATTCAAATATTTCTTTCAGCTGTGTTAGATATTGTGGGCTCGTTGGACTCGAAGACTACATTGTACAGACTCGGTAATCTATCACACTCCAAAACGTCGAAACTCAACGACAAAGATTTAACCGCCCTTTTGTCCGACGTTTCTCCGACTCCGCCAGTTCTTCAAGAAAAGGGGTGTCACAACGATAAATTATTGTATATTTTCACCAGTGGTACAACTGGTCTTCCTAAAGCAGCAGTTATAACAAATGCTAGGTAAGATATATTCGTTAGAGATAAATATTATCGTTGACACAGTTCTTAAACTTTCTTTATAGCAGTGGTGTCAAACACATTTTAATCACGAGCCATTGGTCTAACAAGTAGAATTCACGTGGGCCGCACAATATGTATTTATATCATTTAGTTATTTCAATTTTTAAATTTCACAGTTTAGCCGAACAATCATAGTGCAAGTCCAGCTATGTATTATACACAAAGAAATTTAAAATTGCTTACATTTTGACAATATTTACAATTCGTACAAAACATAAATCGTTGCGGACCACAAAAATAGACGTCGCGGGTCGCATGCGGCCGTAGGCCACCAGTTTGACACCCCTGCTTTATAGTGAAATTCAATGTGTTTCCTACTTTATATATTTAATAACATTAGTTACTTTATAAGTCGAGAAAATTAGTTTTTGTTCCTTTAGTTATTGAATAATTATAAATCAAAAATAATTTTTCCAAATGTTTCTCTCATTATGTTATTCGGTCCACCATTTATGATAATTTCTCTTATTTATAATAGGTAATATTTTAACTTATGTTCCAGTTATTGTTAGATAATATACAGGGTGTTTTAGCTAACTTGATTACCTTGAATAATGACGTAACGGTATACTTTATGAAAATTTTAAGGTGTGGAACTTAAATGGCATCAAGGGGCACATCTTATAAGGTAGGGAAGACTGGGGAGGGTTGATACATAGGGAGGCTCGATACATTTTTATATTTCCTACGTAAAAAACAAAAGAGAGACGTACATTTCAGCATAGCGTGCACTTTGTAAACGGCGTTAGATTACGATTGTTTTAAGCAAACTTATCAACCTGAAATCACTTTAATTAAAATAACTGAATTTTCGCGCTGACAAACGTAAGCTCTACTTCATTTATATAAGGTTCTTGTCACTGTGTATTGATTTTTATGAAACATCATTAATTTTATGTGAAAATACATTCAATATTACACATATATGTCAACTCCCGTTGTTCTCAGTTTAAGGCTAAGCGATGTTAGAATTGTTGTTTTAAAATTCTACATTTGGGGAGGTATGAGACATACATTCAAGAGAGGTTTGATACATGTAGCACACCCATTTCAAAGAGCCATTATTTTATTAAAAATTAGTTTCAAACGAATTGTTTGTGACAACATGCCACACAATCTGTTCAACGGACAGATGTGTGGCTCAAATTTAAAGAACCTCTATGTGGTGTGCGATTTCAGGACTTAAATAATTTAATGAATAGAATCCCAAAAAGTTTTTTTTATATGTCGTAAGAAAATTAGTTTCTCCCTGAGACAAGTGCATACAGTTAAACAGAAATTATACTATAAAATGACAATGTAATATAGACAAAAATCTGTAAAATGAAAAATGTATAACACAATTGCCAGAAATTTGGAAGCGGCCCGTGCATGTCTAACTTATGACCTTGAGGTGAATTTGAAGATTGAAAATATAATGACGCCTTCGACGGGCTCGTTTGGTCGTCCAATTATGTTTCATGTCTCGTTCTTGAGATCACTAATAGAACACAATGTGGATGTTCAGCGTTGCACGAGATTCGTAAACTTGATTTATAAATATACGAACCTTTATTGTGAGAAAATACAAGGAATTTATAAAAAAAATATAAACACACTCAAATGGGGTAGTGAATGTAAATACCTCCCATTCGATTAATATATGACACCGCTGTTGTGTTGGCCATACCAAATAAAATTTCACAATTTCGCTTTTCTGTAGCAAAGCATGCTAATCCAAAATAAGCTCTCAATCTTCTCGAAAACGTAGTTTAAAATGAAAATTGTTGTATTTTGAAGATTGTTAATTTGAGAAAATCTCAGTAATTATTACTGTTAAGCCCTGTATGGTATAATACTTTTTTACGCAGAAGTTATGATTTATCCGAATTTGGGACAAAATATTGGGCATACTATTTAAGAAACTAAAGGTGACCCTTATATCTCGATAAAAAGGCAAAATAACGAAAAACAGATTAGAGCACTGTATGTCCCCATGGAAACCATGCAACATTTGTTTGAACAATTTATTTTTACAACAAATAACTTATGAGTTAATTGAAGTCGTTACGATACAAGACCCACCCTGTATATCTTCCCCAATTTTGCAAGGTGGTTCAATCATGCAAATATCAAGTAACACAAAAAATTAATGTGGCGACTTTGTTTTGAGCAATAAACTTGATTTAACTTAAATAAAGTAACAAGTTGGAAATTATTAGCAATATAATATAATTAATGAAGTATACTAATGTTAAATAGTACTGTATTAAGTATTTATTATGTAATAGTATTACGTATAATGAGGTCGTACTGTATGTTATTATATTTTCCATTTAATGGTCTTTTATTATTATAATCCCAACTTTTTATTGTAATTTCAGGTATATGTTTATAGCAACTGGCATTTTTATGATGGCACGATTCAAAAGTACAGATAGATTTTATACGCCAATGCCTCTGTATCATACTGCTGCTGGTGCAATGACCACAGGTGCAGCTCTACTTCATGGAGCGACGGTAGTCATTAGGAAGAAGTTTTCAGCAAGTGCCTACTTTGCTGACTGCATCAAATACAATTGTACAGTAAGTTGTTTCTACTTATATTTTTATTATGCATCCACACATATTAAACTGGTTAATTAACTTCAATTTAAGAATTCTTATTTGGAAATTTTTAACCAGTAATAGTGTCATTACATTCTCTATTGAAAATAATTATATAGAAAATCTCATGTTAATTTGAATGATAAGCTATTGTTTGCTGAATAGTTAATAGCTTGAAAATTATTAAGAGCAAAAGATATGGAATTAAAACAATAGTTTTACTTAAAAATTAATTTTTTGTCATGTTTGCATATAATTTGTATTTAAATACCAAAATATAATTACTTATAACTATTTTTCATGCTTGTATCCAAAGTTTTTTTATATTACGGATATATTAACATATATAAACGTAAACTTAATAAACGTAACGAAATTACAATATTTGATAAATAACCAAAAGTAGATGTGATGTCTGAGAAGTGTCATAATTTATTTTCAGGTTGGTCAGTATATTGGAGAAATGTGTAGATACATTTTGGCTGTACCTCCAGGACCAGAAGACAAGAAACATAATATCAGACTGATGTTTGGCAATGGCTTGAGGCCACAGATATGGCCCGAGTTTGTTGAGCGTTTTAACATTCCTTGTGTTGCTGAATTTTATGGAGCTACAGAAGGGAATGCTAATATTGGTAAATCATACATTTTTGAAAAATAGTTTAATTTTAGGCAAAAACGTAGTGAGATATAATTTCTTGTAATATCTGTGGAATTCGTCATTCCTATTAATGTTTTCTGTTTTTTTATTTTGTTTTTATTTTTAGTAAATACTGACAATACTGTTGGAGCCATTGGTTTCATTTCCCGAATCATTCCATCAGTTTATCCTATTTCTATTATAAAAGCAAATACTGACGGAGAACCTATAAGGAATGCAAAAGGTTTATGTCAAGTGTGTGAACCAAGTAAGTGCCTTTATTAAAGTAAATACGTTTCTGTTTTATATTATAGGGAACTATAATTTCAATTTCTCTAATTTCTTTTAGATGAACCGGGTGTATTCGTTGGGAAAATTATACCCAATAATCCGTCTAGACAATTTTTAGGATATGTAGATCAAAAGGCATCTGAAAAGAAAGTAGTTCGCGACGTATTTACAAAAGGAGACTCAGCATTTTTATCCGGTATAATTTGTTTCAATAAAATTATACGATTTACATATACAGTTTAATTGTAAAATATATGGATTACAGTTAATTTATGCGAATGTTTTATTGGTAAAATATAACCAGTTACAGTATGTATATTATCATAAATAGCTTTTCTTTTCTCCATAGGTGACATTTTAATAGCGGATCAATTTGGTTACTTATATTTTAAAGATAGAACAGGCGACACGTTTAGATGGAAAGGAGAAAATGTTTCTACATCCGAAGTTGAAGCTATTATTAGTAATGTTGTTAACTACAGAGACTGTATTGTGTATGGAGTTGAGGTAAATAATGAATTTACAAACTTAAACTATAATTTTACTCTGTTACTACATAATATTGTCATATAAAAAAGGACCAAATATTATACATAAATATTTTGAATACTTTATAACAATTTGCGGATAGTATAATTATTTTTCAACTGTTTGTATTTTTTATTTGTTTTCTTAGGTTCCAGGAGTTGAAGGTAGAGCTGGAATGGCAGCAATATATGATGAAAATAATACACTAGACGTCAATAAATTATCAGTTGATCTGAAAGAACATTTAGCATTTTATGCGGTACCCAGGTTTATTAGGATTTTAACAAAGATTGACCTCACAGGTATATCTATATCTAATTTTCCTCAAGTTCACTTCATAATACTAATAATTAAAATTTAGCACAGTATTTCTTCGAAAATCTCGAATATTAAATCCTCTTTACCTTTTGGAATTATTCAGAGAACAACTAGTCAATGACTACACTTGACACTTATTATAGACTGCGGATTTTATGCATTTATAGCCTATAGGGCTTTGTGAAAAACATTGAAAAACAAAACTTTCATCGGATTCAATGAGTTTTCTATTTTATTCTGAACCCAATACGATACTTAAGAGGGAAAATCAATTTCTACGATTGCTTCGGTCTTTATAAATTACTTTAGAAACTTTCATTTTGCATAAAAATCCGCAGTCTACTTATCATTTTAAAGTGATGCTTCGATATAATAAGAAACTTTTGTATACAAATTTTTTCATACAATGCATCCTTTGGAAGTTATTTAAGGTGTACAAGTTACGTGGACCACCCTTATATGTTTTAGATTTTTACAATAAAAAATTTATTGCAAGACACAACAACGTATAATATTAAGAATATGCATATTTCTTGTATACAAATACAAGGTACAGTGATTTCTCGATGAATGCGATTTGAACAATGGCGTTATTCCCACTACTGGCGGGGTCCCTTGTTAGAACCAATCAAAATAGAGTAAACAGAACAAATTGTAAGCAGAGGCTCGGTTTCGAGCAAAATACAAATTTATGAGAGGCTGAAAAACTTTCCGCCTTGTCACAAATGCACCGGAGCGGACCTGAGTTCATCGCATTCATCGAGATGGCACTGTAGTTGTATTCTACCATAAAATTAAAAAGAAATTAAAATCTATGCAACTAATAATTATTTCAGGTACATTCAAATTAAAAAAGAAAGATCTTCTAGAAGATGGTTACGATCCTAAGAGAATACAAGACAAACTGTACTATTTGAGTGAAAAGTCTGGATACCAGTTATTAACCACGGAAGTGTATGAACAAATTTTAGACAAGAAAATCCGTTTTTAAGTGATATTTTTAAAAAGTGAATGGTCACAGGAAGAATATGCGCTGTAACCTACACTAAAAACCAAATAAGACCATAACTGCGAAATGAAGAATTTCGGTCTTGTTTGCGCATATTCCTCTCGGTTACTTTAGTTACCAACCTCTTGACAATTCTCAAAACAATCTCAAAACAATACTCACAAGACAAGACTCAAAACAATTGAGCATCATACACCCAGTGACTGTGAAGTACAAACGTGCCAATTCATAAGTATTCATGTCTTGAGAAATACTTCATTATGTCACCCGGTGTATGACAAATTCTATCGTCCCTGTTACAGAAAGCGAGAAAGTGGGGGAACCAGGGGTTCGAGAGACCTCTCCTGCTCATTGCATGCGCGAAACAGTTATGCTCTTATTTGGCGTTTAGTGTACTATAAATGTACACCATCAAAGTGAAGGAAGGCTTCATTATGTTGAATCAAAGAAATTACTTCGTAGTAAAGTATTTTCTAATAGTAATTAAATTATTCGAATTCCCGCTCTATTACTTTTTTAATTCTTTATGAGCTTATATTAATAACAATGGTGTATAAAATATGTTACATCAACACCACAATGAGAGATTTCTGACTTAAAAATAAATGAATCCTGCATTTTCAAGGTTGCAAATAATAACATTTATTCTTATTCCATAGAAACGTACTGTACAAATTTGGTTTTAACAGTACTCATCATTAAGATACTAAACGGGATTATATTTTAAAGTTATAAATCTTTCATTTTTTAATTATATCACATTTTGCAATACAGATAATATATAAAAGAATTGGTTTTATATTTACAGAAGTCAAGTTTATGAAAATATTCTGTAATAAAAAAGTATTACAGAAAAATGATTATACAATGTTTATATGTACCTTGAGGATTAAATTCATAGAAGCTCCTAATTTTTGGATGTCATATAACACAAAGAATAAATGAAATATGTTTTTTATAACATTAACTGGATATAATTTTTAGTTCAAAATCTAGGCACTGTTAAAAATGTTGTACTGTTGTTTCTATATTTTACTGTATGTTGTTACTCATGTACCATTCTCATGATCACGTATATACAGACATGTTATTGTTAATGGTGTTATCATACAGTATATATTACATTTTTATCGTAATGAATTTCGTAATTAAAATTGGATCAAAATATATGTTTACTATCATCAGCGTACACAATGTGATTTAATGGAATATTTCATCGTTATATTCATTTTCATGAAATAATCCATTAGAACACATTACCGTCCGATATTTTGTACCCAAATCATTGTTTTTTTCAAACTCGAACTTCATATGTATATTAATTGCAGTTAAATTTTATGTTATGTACCAGTAAAATGTAGTCACTAGTTATATAATGTAAAAATATGAAAAAAATATTTATTATAATATAATAATGCCCTACAAATATTTCTGTTAAATTAATTATTTTTCACAATGTTTAAACCCTGAAATTTGTGGCTACTGCAGGTCTGTTAATTGTACTACTATCTTTTATTGTTGTTATTTATGTCAATACTAAATGTGATAAGGTTGTTGGACAAACATTTTAATGTAATTAAACCGTTTAAGAAGTAAGCATTGCAATTTATATGTACGTAAATATAAATACAATAAAATGATTTATATATTTGGTTATATAATTTGTTAATGAATAGGAGTAAACAAGAAAGAACACTAATTACAGGTCATTCCACGCCAAGCAGATAACTTATGTACACGAGGTCTGGGATTTTGTTCAACTTGAAATATGTTATAGTCCATGTGGAAATAAAGATGTTTAAGTCATTAATTCGCTGATTTCGAAATTGTTTAAAAGATATAGATCCTCAAAATTGGACATTTTCTCAGACTTTTACGAAAACTACCTTTACAAAAAAATTTCATCTCAACTGCTATACGAACTTGATTTTTGTTTTATTTTAATTGTAAAGGGTTCTTTCTTAAGTAATCTTTTGCTTTGTACGTAAAATTATTTTTCCATTGTGCATACTACAAAAATTTAAGAAATATGTTCGTATTCTGTGATCTTTTTGTAAAATCCATTTTTTTAAAATTCGCGGTGGTTGTAAAATTTTGATAGCAGCGGATGTAGACAAAGAGAATTCAATCAAATTAATTTTATATCTAGGAGAGGGGTCGGAAATACGGGTCAGTAGGTAATAAAAGCCTGGTTTTAGCAACATTGTAATATACGTGTATACGCGTATTTAGCGCTTCCGTTACGTTGACCTACAGGCAAAGCGGTCGTCGTGATTGAATACCACTGCCGCCGCTGCGGGTTTTGCTGAACTATTTCGTTTCTCTATTGAAAACAAAATAGATTTTGTAACTTTCCTTGACACCTACCTTAGCAGAAAGGTCTGCGTTATCGCACGCTACGATTCGATTTTCTCGTAGATCCTCAATTTTCGAAATAAATTAAAGAATATCAACAAAAAATGGTGCGCTTTCGGTGTCCTTTTCACTTTGATCATTATTTAAACATGTTTAGATGCCTAAAAGTAGTTTCACTAGCCATATTGCATTCGCCATTTTAAATGTAAATTTTTTGACATCGGATTTGGATTCAGCAATCCCAACGACGAAAAAGTTTAGTTTACTTTATTAATTTTGGCTATTTCTACGGGTCGCCTGGCCTTTTTTTCGGGGGGAAAACCTTGAAAGGCGATAGCCTGTGCGGGATTTCACCACGCTAAAAAACCCCCGGTGACCCTCTTGGGCGCAAGGGCCGGCCACGGGAATGCAGAAGCATACTTCTTAAAAATGTTAATGATTTTCAAAATAATGCTATATTATATTTTCATTCCTATTATTCAATACGATTTGTAACATATGGAAGTTCAAAAATTCCTGTGTTTAAACAAGTTACATCTTCGTATAAATTCGGGTAAAAGATACTCCACTGTACATCTTTATCCGTAAACTACAAAAACTGTTTACTCGTTCCTGGAACCACATCTCAATGTTTATTGTAGATAGTTACACTGGTAATGAAGAAAGTAGGTACACAAATGAGACTTTTCATTTCGCTTCACGAGGTGTTACATTGAGTCATAGATAACTTGCGTTCCACCTTTTTCAATCTATCTCCATTTAAAACAATGTATAATTAACAATAATCTATTGTACATGTTTTATCCGTTTTAGTAATCTATTCCGCTGTATTTACTGACTTATCAGGGTCAGTTATTATACACTACCAATCAAAAATTTTTTTATTATTCCATGATACAAGATATGTAGGAATTTGCTCAATAAGCAAGTGAATAAAGTCAATCCAAATAATTACATTTATTAACAAAATTTAATGCGTTATATGATATAATTTTAGTAGACGTTTACTAGTGTTTTGTAACTCTTGGTCAATAGTGTGATTTCTTTTAAAATCGTAAATTTGCTTTACGTGCTTCGAAAGTTACTTATGACTCAATTCAATATTATCTTATCATTACAGTCAGCCGATTTTATTTTCTATAATGTCCGAAAACATACAATGACCTTCGAAAAATTCGCATCCAAATGCTTTTTCGGTCGGGTCACGAATTTCCACACCTTATATTAGTCACAAAGTGTTATCAAACGAGAGCGGACATCGTGAACATAATTACTGACAACATAAAGCATCGACTTCTTCAATGATATTTCAATTGCCTGCGCATACCTTCAAGTACATTCCTATGCGATTAAAGTGATTACACAAGTTCGACGATCGACAAGCGTTCTTAATAATTTATGAACCACTCTTCACACACATTATAACTATACAATTCGTCGTATATAATATCGTGGTAAGTAACTCGCCCGCGAGCTTAGCACTTATTTCGCGTCTACCGTCCGGTATACTCCTCGTCCGCTAAATATACATTGTACACACCCAATCATTTTGTTCCTGCGATTTGTACATCTAAACCAAAGATAGGCATTATTTAAATAAAGAATTATTTAAATTATGAATCAAATAAAAGATACTTTATTTTCATTCGTTATTTGAGGATCGAATAATTCTGGTTATCTTTATTCGACGCATGACAAATAATTTTTTTATTTGATGAGAATTTTTTGTCGAACACAAATAATTTTTTTATTCGATGAGAATTTATTCAATGAATAAAGATAATTTATTTAGTTGACGAGAATTTATCTTCAGCGTCGAATAAAGTTTTCATCCTTATTTTTATATTTATTCTACGTCAAATAATTTTCTAAGCGCGTTCGAGCCGCGTTGCCGGAGACCGGGGCCGGGGAGTCGAAGATTGGCACGCGCGGTAGAATGTACATCTGAACATAGGTATGTGGTATCGCCCTATGACGAAAGCGGGTATTGAATGAAACCGTGAACTTTTATAAATGAGAGTTTCCTTCGGACCTTTTAACTTTTAAATCATTTCTTTTCTGTTTTAAGTTAGATTTACACATCAATACCAAAGATGGACAAATTCATTATTTAGATAAAGAGTTTCGAATAATGAATAAAAGATAAAAAAGCACTTCCGTCATTTTCAATCGTTTAAACATGGAAATTCCAATTTTTATGACAAAATAATACTTTTTCTTGAATGAATTATCATTTGGCAAACAATTGTTTAATCTTATTAACTGTTTAATAATAATTAACTTATTAATGTTGCTTTTCACTATGTATTATTCGAATGAAATTGTGCCTAACTCTAATTAATACTTGGACTGAATTGTAAAAGTTCATTTCTCATAATTGTTTTCTATTCGGTTAATAAAAGTTTTTCTGGTATGCACATATATTTTTTAACAGATATTTTAAGGTAAATTATAAAAGTTCAAACTATTTTTTCAATTAGCACTATTTAATTTACTAATTAATTACTGAAAGCAGGATAAATATAAAAGAAAAAGTAATATATTAATGCACGTGTACCCGTACCTACATTTCGATACAGCTATATTTTGATACATGTGAAATAGAGTTCTCTATTATGTACCCAATAATGCGAAATCTATTTGCCAGGAACTTGAACTTTTCCAAAGCAGAATAAATGTTACTGTTTAACTGAAACTTCATTTTACTTCCAAGAAAATAAAAGTTCATTATTTACGCAAAAATGTATGCGATAAAAGTTTCAGTGTTACAATACAGTCGAAGTATTAATTAGTAATGTGCAAAGTTAACTTAAAACGGAAAAGAAATGTCGATACTATGCTTTATAACGCGCGTGCCAGTTTTCGACTCCCCGATCCTTGGCGGCGCG